GCTTTCATCCCTACTTACTGTATGTACGACAAACTCGATGTGTATTTCAATGAGAGAACTTTTCTTTGGCTTCAGCTTCTGGCCTAATGTAAACATTAAAATACAATGCCTAGGTTTCTAATGGCAACCCAAAATATGCGACCAAGCATCAATACATCATTGATATAAAGTATTAGAAATAATTATCCACATCATCTTGGATTATGCACTACTGTTGATCAGTATGGTTGATATGCAGCTAGATAAGATTGTTTTGTTTTTTGTTGAATTACGCGTAAAGCCATCTCGAGGGCTGTCTTCACTAGCAGTCCTTAATTTAGAAGTGATAGATACTTCAGTCAACGTCATTCAGCCTTATTATACCTCATAAGCCACAGCATCATTGCACAGTACCATCAGAACTTACAAGCAACATTCTTCACTATGGCATTGTATTGTAAAGGGCATGCAATCCATCACTGAGCCGCTGCCTTGACCCAACAGACACCGACCAGTTAGTGGATTGATTGCCTAAGAAGTACCTCAAGACACAGTCATGGGTGGACAGGTACTATATAGCTTCCACTTAGATAGTCAGGCCTCAGATGCTCCCGTGTGGAATAAATGTAAGGGGCCACTGCGATCTGTGGAATTCAGCCTAGACAAACAATTTGTAGATTGGGCAGAAAGTAAAGCAGAAAGAGCCTGTCAGCATCTTTATAAATACTACATTAAACTTGTCATCATAGCCACAGATGTTCTTACACCGCAGATGAAAAAAAAATAGCTGTTGGGTATTCATAATCTTATGGAACAACAACATTCTGCTTTCAAGCTCCAACAAGTTGCACAATGAAAGAGTTGGAAGTCATAAAGCAAGCTCTCCTATCTATCATCGACTGTCTCACAAGCAGTGTTGCATAAAAATCAAAGTGATTGGTTTCCGAGTGGATGGCAAAGAACAAAGCAATAGGGATAACGCTAAATGAGAAAGCTAAAAAGCTAGGAAAAGAAGCCCTTATACCAAATTTGGCACAACTCTACTGGCAGGATATCGACCTCCTATGCAGTAGTAAGGTATAAAGGGTAATCTGGGAAGACCTTCATTGACAATAAAAGGGAATGATACTGCTGGAAAACAAAGTACTGTATGGTGTAGCTTGGAAGAGCAAAAGGTAGGGGATCATCAGAACAATAAATAGCCAGAAGGCCACTGGTAACATTAGTAAAGAAACTATATTCTACCTCCTACAAAGAAGCTGGCCTCCACATGAGGGAGCAGTAAATGTTAGCATAATGCCTAGGATTGTCATCTGGTACTTAACTTCTCTATTATCTATTTTTCTGGGGAAGGCTTGTTCTTCTCATCAGACTATCTTCTCCAACAAATATTTTGATAAACACTTTTAGTAGTTGTTATAGTTTTTTCTGGTCGAAAGTACACGCTTTTCCACTACTGACCTCAAATATACTAGCAACATATATTTGCATGTTGAATTTAAGTAATAGAAACCATATTGCTAATTTTGGAGACTTTTCTTTTACACATTGTACCAACAATTATTCTAACCAATAACTTTACTTACTTTTGACGAGATATCTGTCTTAGGAAGCATGAATAAATTTGTTGAAAGAAAACAGTGCCTGAGATATCACTTCTGTCAAAATTTTAACTGTTGATGCATTTGAAATTGTGACTGTAAAACACCAAAAAACATTACTTGTGTGTTAGACGAAATCATAATATTTTTACATCCTGAAATAATATTTGAATCGACATTTTGTTATGTCATCATAGAATTGCAGTCCTTTAGGTGTACAGGCGATTTATGTAAAACATCTAAATTTAAAACTTACAATTCTGATTGCACAGAGAGGGGAACTATGTCAAAAATGTCAAAAAGTCTATAGTTTAGCAAGCATGTCCTTCCTTGCTCTCTCTCCATGGAACAGGATGTCTCACAGTTTACACCGATAAGAAAGATGGAGCAGCAGGTTAAGAGAATCTCTTCTGCTATAATGATGTTCATCAGGTTGAACCAGACTTCTATACGGTGTCTGTTGGGTGGAAATGTATGTTACAGAGTCCTGTAATGTAGCATTGACAAATGTAGGAGCTGAGACTCTAGCAAAGCCACACTGCAGCTATTGCTGCAAATTTCGTTTGCTTTGTTCTGGCAACTTATTTAAGGCTGTCACTTCATACTTTGGCATAACTTCAGTAAGAGATAATGTATCTAATGGCCTAGGGTTATCACATAAACTCACTAGAAAGTACTTTCATAAATTAATCAGCCAAACTATTTTCTCATTCTGCTTTCACAATACTAAGGTTTGATTCATATGGTAAGTACTGCAATTTATTGGTGTATGCAGCTAAGTTTTCAAGTCTTAAATTCTGGCTGTTAGGTGGATCTATTCTCTAATGGGTCAATGCACCAATACAAATCTGATACAGTGAACTCACAGCTAAAAAGTTGGTCACTACTCTATGTAATCAAGTTTTGGACCTCTTAAACGTAGTAGTCAACACTACAACATTTGATCCTAGGTCCAAAAATTCCAAGGTTACCCACTGAAGCTACTTAACAAAGTGATATAAACCTGACTTTGCTAAACCCCTATTTGATAAAAGCATGAGCCGTTTCACTCCCCACTTTCTCTCCATTTTAGCAGAGGGAAGGATCCATCTCTAATATCATTCAATGTAATAACTGCAGAGCAAATGTCAACCCATTCCGAAAAGCAGGAAGTTGCAAATATTGTTAAGCATCAAATTTCCTCTCTGTTTACTTGAGTAACTCAGCACCATGGCAGTGGTGTCACTATTCGAGGCTACTCAAACACTTATTGGCTTGTGGCTTTGCCAGAAAGCTCCATGCTGGTCTTGTATGGTACATGATGTCTACTATGTTTTCAGGAGGCGAGTAGGGTGAGGCTGGAAAGCGTTTCTGCCCAATACTAAGTCTTATTATATTTAGCCTTGTTATACTTGCTAAAGTACTTGAGGACACTTAGCAATCTTTCAGAGTCGTATTTTGATCAATACCTTCCAAGGAGTGCAAAAGAGAAATAGTTTTGAAGTACCAGAAACATTTGATCAACTACCGTTTTCACAGTAACCAAATACTTACAAACAGTACCAAAATGCCACCGCAATTGAAGTAAGCTGTGGTATTCCAAGAGTAAACCAAGCTCACAGTTACGTGGTCTTTTCAATAACAAGTGCTTCGTAAATTTAACCGATTGCTCTGTTTAAAATTAACTACATATAACTGTCGCTAGTGTATTTCAACATTTGACTACCTGAAATTGGGAAGAAAAGGATGTTAGGAGGATTACATAATGGTGAACAGTCTCATTAAGTATACCAATAAAGACTAGAGCTAGAATTTTCTCCACAGATAAAGTATAGGACATTATAGAGCTTTTTGACATTATAGTTTCTGATACTAAGGACCATTTTCTTTTTGTAGTGCATGTAGGAGCGAATGGTGATGAAATTATAAATCAGAAGAGCTGCTTCAAAAAGTATAAATTATTCTATCAGAGGTTTAGAGATAGAAATACATGTAGAGTCATTTCGGAAGTGTTCCCTCGGGCTCGATATAGGAATGAATTACTTAGGATCTAAGGTTTAAACCAAATATTAATAGGTATGTGCTTAGAGTAACAGCTGGGCTGATAGAACTTATATGATAGTTTCCAAAGTAAAGGTGAATTATATGGTACAGATGGGTATCTTGAACAGCTTAGGTAGCAGAATATTTGGGGAAACTTTAAAGATATTCATTATAGAGAGTTTAAACTAAATTTGCATAGGAATGGGAAAGACTGATAAATTGGGAATAACAAAATGACAATGTAGATAGACAAAGAGGAGAATAGTAAAATAAGATATAGAGCACATAAAGTTAGAGATAGCAGTTTTAAAGATAAGTGAACCAGATTTACACATACAAATCATAGATTCAAGAATAAGTTTAGTTGCTATTATTCTGATGTGAGGAATATTAAGTACAAAATCGATTAATTCAAGACTCTTGGCGAAGTTTAAGACTATTACAATAGCCAGGCGTTCACACGATAATGATTGTTGTTCTAACAAGTGCTTGTGCATATAATGTTTCAACCACTACTGTATTTTGTAATCCAGCCAGCCTTATGAGCTCTGACATTGAGCGAAAAGATTCATTGGCAATGGATATGTCAGAAATAGTGTGATTGAAATATTATTATACACTCTTCTTCAAAGTATATCTGTAAGAGACTGAATAAAGAAAGTAGTGTTATAAAATACAATAAGTCTGAAAATAGTGTCTTAATATTGTCATAATAGCGTTTCTACCATAATGCTTAAAATATTTAACCCTTTTTAAGTTTTATTGTTCTTTGCAAGCTTAAACTGATGCCCTCGTTCAGTTTCTAGCTGTCTATGATTTTAAAGTGCTATTGACCTTTTTTGATGTGAACGATTTAACGTATTTCCAAAAAAAATTGTTTTTAAGTTTCAATTAAGTCTAGGATTTTTCATTTTATATATAAAGAATGATATATATATTATACACAACCGTTTCTGTGTACATAATTGACAACAAACGTTTAACGCATTTGTCCTTTCGAAAATAATATCTAATAAAACTCAAATAAATTTTCTCCCTGCATTCTTAAAATGAATTTGCCCTTAGATCTTTCAAACGTCTTTGAGGCAATGTTAATTATATAATGATATTTTTCACTTACTTAAGTAAGTGAAAACATAGCATTATATAATTACAACGCTATTTTTCTCCGGGGTTAGATAACCCGCGATAGACAAAACATAGATGACCCATTTCTTAGCCCTGTGCTAAAAGAACAAAAACAATAACAGTTGTTTAACAACGTAAATTCGTACAGACTAGTTTATTTCATAAATGCATTGTATCTCATACGATTTTTCCGTTTGTTATTGTTGACATAAATCAAACTTATTTATATGTTGTTATTTTGTAAATATTAATATTTTGTCATACTTACAGGACAGAAAAGTTTTGAAGAGAAGTTCTTACACGAGGATCATCGCAATTGGCGGTTTTTTCTTATCCATACCCATATTTTTCACTGGTAGGTTCATGGATCAAAAGTATCATAATTTTTAGTGTATCGTATTCTAAAGATATTTTTGGTTATTATATTTCGTTTATTATTATCATTATTTCATATATATATATCTATATCAGTATTTATAATTTGTCACGATCACAAGCCATTAATTGTCTCCAGACATACATAATCGATGGTTTTCGTTTTTTCTCTAAATATCTCACAAAGTATGGTTATTGTGGAATTCTTTCACTTAAAATTCTCCTCAACAATTTTCCACTGAATTCAATGTTCGTGATCATCTTTCAACATCATCATATGCTTCTTTATTTTCAGCGAGGCACAGCGCAGATAGCCTACTCTGTACTCTGTAGCTTTGCGTTAAACTAAGTTTTTCTAAAGCGAGAAATCATGATAAGTCTTCATGGCTACTTTTAACTTTCTTTATTTTTTCTATTAAGGAAAAATCCTTAGAATTAATGATATGTTTTCCAAAGCTGTAATATTATTATTTTTAATGAATGTAGGACATAAGCCGAATTAATCATTACTTTATATGGTTAGCTGAAATAAAGCAAATGTTAACTGAAAACTAGAAGGATGTAACATCAATAAACTATTTGTCCTACATTATTTATTCTTGAATCTATAAGTATTGCGATATATGATTTCAAGTATTTTTAAACGAAAAAAAAACTGTAAAGATTAAGTCACTTCTAGTATTCGCCTTTTTGTTTATACGTATCAGGTGTTTTCCTCGACATAATTAAATGAGTTACACGTACAGCTAAACTGTACCTTTTAGAAAACTGACTTTTGTTTACTTGTTGTTAATCGCAAAGTTACACAATATGCTATCTGTGCTCTGTCCATTGCAAGTATCAAAACCCGAATTTTAGCACTATAAGTTCCCAGACGTACCTCTGAGCCACTGAGAAGCTTAAAACTGAACACTAATGTAGTTTTCATTGATTAGTCTATAGATATTTTTCTGTCTTTTGGTACAGACACGTAGTTATATATTTAACCCTTCAATTAAAAAAAAAAAGAATTGAAAAGAGAGAGAAATTATTTTACACATTCCTTACGATTGTATTTCTGTACACAACTTTTTATTGAAAACTACTTAATGAATTTCAAGTAAGTGCAAAAAAACTAAACATATTCATGTGAAACGAAATCAAAAGTCAGTGCCACGTCAAACATCAATGATTGGCCTTAAGAAAATTAAGATAACAGAATGTTTAAAATCATCAATGATTTGAACACGAAACGTAAGGATTACACACAATCAAGCTCTATTTAGGGTTATGAGTATAGTTTTCCTTTTATGGACTTGATCTTGATAATGTCTGCTCTCCACCGGAAACATACTGCACTTGCATTTCTAAGTAATATAATGCTATTAATGAGTTATCATTTACATATTCTTTCTTGCAGGTGTGATATTATTCACATTTATTCACTTTCACAAAGTCCCAGCCATAATTACTAGTGTAGTGATAGGCTTAGGAATTGTGTTCTGTGGTGCAGCGTCTATACAGCGTATTTATTTGTGGCAAAGGGAGAAGACTCGGACAAGCAACGAAAAAGTAGAAATTAGGTTAAGCCAGCCCAAGGAATCAGGATTAGTAGGACCTGACGTCACTGCCCATAATATGGAACTATCTACTCTAGTCTAACAACGGATTCATCCTACCAAACTTCAAACTGTAACATGTTGATGAGCATAATTAAAAAGACAGTCTTCGAAGTTACACCAAAGTAGAAAGTTGACATAACTGTTCTCAATATTTTGGACAACATTAAATGTCAATAGATGACAAGAGTTTTTTTGTTGGTGTCAAGCCCCATCGATGACGCCACGGAATCTTTGAGAATATCATCCTTAGCCAGTGGAATACCTTTATTATAATTATTATCTTTATTCATAACTTAATTGCTTACACAGACTTTACATGTAGCTGATGACAGCCATAAAATTTTGAAATTACCGTGTTGTGACAAATATTCTTATTTTCTCAACCGGTGGAGAAAAAGAAAAGAAAACTGTCAACTCTAATTTAGCCCTGTTACAAAATTAAAAAAAAAAAGAGAAACTAACCAAATCTATAGGTTTTATAATAATTTCAGTTTATTTTACAGATGATTTTTATGTATGTTACTTATCTCCAGAAAACTTATAGATAAAATTAGCTTGGAAAGATATATGCTTGGTATAACATTAGACCTCAAATAGCAAAGTTGAAGTTTGATTTTGTACTTAGTTCTAGTTAAGTATAATTATAAGAGCATAATCCATTAAAATATATTTTATTTTCAAAGAGTGGGCTCCATATGCGTACAAAATAAGGAAAAAATAATGCTTTTGAGACTATACAAAAAAAAAATTGTTTGTTTGTTTTAAACTATGCACAAAGCTACACAATGGGCTATCTGTGCTCTGCCCACCACGGGTATCGAAACCCGGTTTCTAGCGTTATAAGTCCGCAGACATACTGCTGTGCTACTGGAGGGCATACAAAAAGAAAAAAAGAAATTAACCGTCTATATTTCTACACGTGGGACAAAACTTAATTTTCTAAGAAACAACTATGCATTTTTTAAATTTTCTTTACGTTTTTAAACTGTATATTTCGTTTATAGTAAAATACTTGAGTACATTATATAAGTGCAAAGGAAATGATACATTGAAACACTGTTGGTGTGAAATTTATGAAAATATGATGTAGTTGCCCTTATTACTCTTGAATTATAAAACGATATAACAATTCCAAAACGAAGCAGTACACAATTTAAAAACTCCTGCAAAGAAGGTTCTATACCAAAATTTAAACAAGCATATAATATCAGTAATTTTATAATTACTCTAAAAACGCATTATATTGGCATGTAAGCATGTGTGTCGAAATGATTTAAAAATTTCTGTAGTTTTATTAGAAACTTCTGGTATAAAATTTATTATTTGTAGTTTTATATTTTCAAAATAACAATGCAATGTTATTGTTTGACGAAATATGTCTCATATCGCTTACTGAAACTTATTGGTCTCTTAGTAATTTCATCCACTTCTGTACATTAGTTTGTTTATAATATTACACAGCTAATAATTCAAATAGTGTTCCTTATCTATAGCAAATTCTGAATATTTTGAACTGTTATATAAAGATACTTTTTTCATGGCATTCTTATTTCACTCACAAATATTCGGTCGCGGTAACAACTGCAGACTATTAACTACTTCACAGTCGATAAATGGATGATTATGTTAATATTATATATTATCCATACAAATATTTTCAATTTGTTTCGAAATTATATCAAATGGCACGTGTACTCGATACTTTGCAGTTAGTTTTTGTGCTGTTTTGGATAGAGTAAAACTGTATTTTGTTGTCTTTGCTGGAATTTCGGAAATCTATAAAATCGTTGTACTGTAAGAAAAAAACTAGATAAAAAGGATACTAATTCTTAAATAATTTGAGTGAGAAGTAGAATACCGGAAAACGAAGAGGTAACTAAAATAAAATAAGGAATATTATTTGGCAACTTAATTTACTTTGCCAAACTGAAAATTCAGCACTTTTTAACAATTTTTCAAAAACAATGGTTACAGTAGATAAAGAACAAGAACAAAATGATTTATGGCCAAAACAATAGTAACATCAAAAATTGCTACAAAGTTATACTATAGAATATAATATGACATATTTATATTATTATATTTTGTAATGATCAAATTAAGCACTAAAATTTCTTTTGTGATCAAACCTCGCAGGTCTTCAACTCCTTAACTGACAATAGCCTTGCAGCATAGTTTCCACTGTAACAGACTCTGACGAAAGGCTGTCATGTTCAAAGCACACTTCTCCTCTCAATAGCTTTCCCAAATCCATCTATTGCACGAGGATGTACCAGCGCCCGTTTCAACCACTAGATTCCACAAAACTCCATAGGCACTGCGTCCAGTGGCTTGATTTGTATGTCTTCATATGGAATAACAGGAATACTAATTTCATTCTCCATCTGTTTTAAGATTGCAATGGTTGAGCTGATTTAGTGTGGAAGCAATCTATTTTGCTTTTCCAGGTGGAGATCCTTCTTGATTGTGTCGCATACTGTTACCTCATACATGTGGATGATTTTTGCCACTGACCTGTTACAAGAACTACACTTTGCTTACCATGACTAGAGTATGACTTATTGCAGGTCTCTTTCTGGATGGTCCTAGTGATCTAAGTTTATCCATATTATTTTGTTTCCCAGTGTATTAAGTACAAGGTATATCCCCGATCTGAATACACAGTGTATTAATATTATTTGTTGAAAATAGTTGTAGCAAATATTTCCTTATAGCGATCAAATGTTGGTGGAATCACACTTCCTACAAATGCCAAACAATGTTAAAGTAGTTTGATACATTTTTATCCCACTCCAACTTTGTATTATCTGTATTTCTCACTTTACTTACTAATTTACAGGTTCCATATCATTCTAGTATAATGTAACCCCTCTCTGTACAAGAAAACAACAAACATTTAATAAATAACGTGGACAAATAGGGTGATTAGAGAGTGATAGAATGAAAATGATGAATCAAGTTCACTGCAAACAGACACAATATTATGAGGTGGAGCACCAAGCATATTGCTGTTATTCAGTAGATCTTTAAGATAAGGCACAATATAATGATCCAATACCATGTACAGAATTAGAATGTTCAAGTCTGCAGAGACTCGGAAGAGGATGAAGACCTCCCTGAATGTTAACAGTTTCTCAGATGCACAATGGTTGACATTTTTGTATCATATACCTGTCTGTAGCATTATTTGATTATAATGGTGATGTGAAACAGGTCAACAAACTAGTATTTAATGGAATGATGAAGGAGGAGGAATTGGGCCATTTCCTTAAGCAGTTTAAGGAAGTAACTACACAAAATGAGTTGCCTTAGGACAGGTGGTGCACGCTTGATGCCTAAAACATCTTGATGAGGACCAGCTCAATAACTTAGACACATTTGCTAATAAGTTAAGTCACACATTTAAATTTCGTGGAGAATCGAATGATCCATAGAGTTAAGTCCACACTAGAAGGTAAAGTCTCCATAAAACACTGATTTAAGAAGACTGCATGGGGAAGATTTCTCGTACATGTATTCTGGTGATTATGAAGCGAATCCACATAGGTTTCAATCAGAGAATCATGTTTCTGATGAAGACAGTTTCTGTTTTCTGACACAATTGAAAAGGGCCGCATTAAACTATATGCTAGAGCAGAGTCTTAAAATCATCAACAGCAACTGAAGCTGTAAACTTGGATTCTGTTTCAAAACGAAAGCTAGTGTCTGTGATATCCTGAAGACGCAATTGTTATGTCAGTTATGACATATAGCAAAAGATGTCTTGGTGCAACCACGATGTAATGAAATGGGACAATAAGGCTTCTAAGGCTGAGATGCTATTGTTGCATATAAAATGGAAAGGCAGTATGAGACAGTCCTCTCTATATTTAGTCCGGATCCGGATAACTTTGAAGCATTTTTTATAATGGGCAGATAGTTTGGTTTGGCTTAATAATTCTGTAAAATGCGATCGGATTTGTACCAAATTTTTTGGGCACATTAAGGTTGAGACTCCTCATTACACTAAAATTAATAATCCTGATCATTGATCAGTCTCGATCTGAGAAAGATTTTCTGACTTTTCGAAGGTGAAGTTTGACGTTATCCAATATAAACGCATGCAATCTTTCTAATTGCTCTTGTCTGTTATGGTTTAATGTAAATGTCTATATCTCAGATTCAAAAATTCATAGTTTAGTTAAGTATGTAATCAAAGTTCTTTTTCTGTATTTTTTTTTCTCTATAAGCTAATATAACTTCATATTCAATAAAGATTTGCGATGAGATTGGGAAACAAAATGATAAAAGCTTAGCTTGGTGACATGCTGCTAGAAGAAAAAGATGTCTGTGAACAACTTATACCACAACGTTTTTAAAGTTTGCTTCGTCATTTTATACTTTATTTGAATTATAATGCTGCAATATGATTAATCCGAATGATTCATTTCCTCTAGTTAGTTTGCTATATTACTGCCTGAATGCCAAGCTGATACAAAATCGCTAAAGCATGAAGTAGCTGATATCAAATGACAGCTATGTACTATGTGATTTCCCTTATCCAGTCAGCAATACAGCGAAAGTGTCATCATGTTCCAGTACTGATTTCACAGAATCTCTCAGTTTCTCTTTGGAAACAAATGTTGTTTTTTTTTATCAGTTAACTTAATGGTTTGTTTGTTTGTAATTAAGCACAAAGCTATACAAGGGGCTATCTGTGCTCTGCCCACCACGGGTATCGAAACCCGGTTTCTAGCGTTGTAAGTCCGCAGACATACCGCTGTGCCACTGGGGGCTAACTTAATGGAACTGTCAATATAAACGTTTTTCGTTTGTAAGCAAGAGTGGAAGCATAAATAAATACCGGAATCTAGGTGTGCTCATATTCAGTTATATGTACAGCAGAGACGGCTGGTATGGATATTAAAAATTTTAATTCAAATAAAGTACAAGAAGAGAGTTTAAGTCACACTTAAACGTTCTTAGGTTATATTCAGCTTTGTTAACCTCAAGGTGACCTAAGAAGATCGAAACGTTGTTCTTATACTTTATTTAAATTAAAGTTTTTAATACCTATACCAGCCGTCTCTGCTATACATTTTTACTTCAAGTGGGTTTCTCGTCATCAAGAATTCAGTAACATGTATTTACTGAGTAGCTGTCTGATTCAGACAGCGAATGTTTTAAATGGAATTTTTTCAAGCCCTTCATCACCATAGTAAAATATAGAGCACTGAATTATCTGACATACATTGTGATAGGGAAAAAATGCTTTTCATGGAAAGAATTAGGTAGGCTTAGTTAAATTATTTTGCAGGCTCAGGTAAGTCCTTTTGTACTCAATCTTATCAAGGTTCATTACATAAACAATGCCACTGTGTTAGGCATTGTTTACATCAAGCCTTTTTAATATAAGTACAGTGTCTTGCGAAAGTCTTTACCCTCCTGTTCTGGTAATCAATTTTAGTTATATTCTTGTGAAAGACAAAACTAAAATGGCTAGAAATATTTATCATATTGTTACGTATCTCGTCGTTTGTTAATTTTCGGTATAAATTCTTCCCGAGGAACTTCAGCAACACAAGTCCTTTCTTAAATAAAACTAGTTTATTTTTTCTCAATACAACTTTGCAATACACAGAATTTCTACAGTGACTTTAACTTAAACACATGCTATAATTCACACACTGTACTTATGGTCACTACCACTCACTTGACTCAATTATCTGTCTCTATCTCCATCTATCTGCAAGTATATCTCCGTTTTATTTGCCGGGCTTATATACAAAAATAGAGGGCGTCTGGCAAACACTAGAGTTGCCAGGAACAGTCATGATCCTTCTAGAAACTCATGACGTGTTTCCAGCGTCACGTGACTTCCGCTGTCGTAACAATATTAATCTCAGACCCATTTCTAAAGATTACAAAGAACAAATGGTACATTGTTTCTCACTTTAGTGGTATAACTCAAAAAACTTGAAAACACATATTCCAAAAGTCTTCACCCCTAGCATGATTATGCAGTTAATATTTGGTTGAAGCTTCTTTGGCAGTCATAACAGCAGAAAGTCGTTTTGGATAACCTTCCGTAATCCTTCTAGAAACTCGTGACGTGTTACCAGCGTCACGTGACTTCCGCTGTCGTAACACTACCCCTTTCATAGTATTGTTCGTCCCGAACAATAGACACTTACATTAACCCAATAGATAATTAACAATAACTTGATTAAATATACAATATTTACAAACACAAAATTAAAATACAACAAAGTCTCCTAATTTCACAGAATGTATCTTCTTCTGTACTAACCTCAATCTCGTTGGCTTCTGCTTCACGTGGGGTTCATCTGCTCCATCAGGAAACGTCCTATTATCAGTAACAGTCACATCAGTGGTAGTAACTTCATCAAGCTCTTCACTGTTTCCATTCTCTAAATTGGGTTGAGTTTCTTCTTCGACAGTGGCTTTTTCAGGTGACACGTCTTTAGCAGCATCATTTGTTCCATTGTTCCCTTCATTACAACTGAAATGTCCTGGACCATGATAACGCCAAAGCCTATTGGCATGCAGCACTTTTGGTTTACCTCGCCGACCACATTTTATTTGGAAAGCCACATCTGAGAGACAATCCATTATGTCATATGGCCCTTCCCATGAAGAAGACAACTAAGGAGACTTCCCTTTGCTCTTCCTGGGATTATACAACCACACCTTGTCTCCTGGTACAAAGCTGACTTCAGTAGATCTCTTATCATAACATAGCTTTATGGAATCAGCAGACGTTTTCAAGTTTGAACGCACTTGATGGTGAATATCATCCATCCTTTCGGTTAACACTTTTACGAACTCTGACACTTTCATTGTCATTTTCTACCATCCCATCAGACTGTGGGTGGAGTGGCGTGGTCCTGGTCTTTCGTATGCCAAACAACTTGCAGCATTCT